CTTCTTCCTTCTAAGGATGTTAAAAAGACCCTGCATGTGACCGCACACCAGGATGCTAGCAACTCTGTAAGGCTGATCTGAGCTGCTCTAGATTCTGCTGGTTAAAATTCTGTTGGCTGGCTTACACTAGCCCTGCCATTGCTGCTAACTGTGATGGAGCTGCAGTGATGCTATTGCAATGGTAGGATAATATAAAAAAATTTGCCATATAGACAAGGCCTTTAGTATTCACTTTCAGTTTTGCAGGACTGCAGCCCACAAGACACCCATCCTAGAACTTCAAAGACCTCTGCTGTGCACAGTCATGCCTCCTACTTCCAACACAACACTATTGTAATATAATTATATTTATCTTAAAATTACAGGTCTAGGATTTTCACATGCCATATGCCAGGTGGAGGGGAAAGAAGAGGTAATCATATGCTCACTATCTCTTACTTACCAAAAATACAAGCACTTTATTTATAGTTAGTTACTTGATGGTTTTCCGAAATAGTTCATTAATACCAGTATTTAAAAGGAAAGGAGATATACAAGGCTGTGGTAACTACCACAGCATTAAACTCGTGAGTCACATGATGATGTGGGAGAAAGTTATTGATAAGAGACAGTGAAAAAAATAAAAGGTCAGTGGCAGTCAGTTTGGATTCATGACAGGCAGGTCTTCAGCGGATGCTGTCTTTGCATTAAGCTTGATTGTGGAAAACATAGAAGAAAGAGGAAAAGATTGCACACACAGTATTGATGGATCTTAGGGAGGCTTCTAGCCATGTTTTGAGAGAGCTTGCCTGAAGGTGTATGAGACTGAATGCCTACAGACGAGAGCAGGTTTGTCTAGTAGCTGGGCATTTGCGAGGGTGCTATCTTCTCAGTTAGAAGGCCATGTGGAAGAACTGAAGAGTTTCATTTAAGAGATGGACTACGTCACAGCTCGTTGCTGAGCCGTTTTGTTTGCCTTGGTGCTAGATGCATTTACAAAAAACATCCAGGTGCATGTTTTTGCAGATGATGTGCTTGTCAGGGAGAGCAAAGGGGAAGTGGAAGAAGATTGAAAGAGATGGAGATGCATACTTGAAAGAAACAGCATGAAAATCTGCAGAAATAAAACCAAATGTATGGTCTGTAGATTTGATTATATCTTAAAGAAAACAATGGAACTGTAAGTCTGGGGGCCTAGCCACTATCAAAAACACAGTGCAAGTGCCTAGATTCAGCTAATACAGGATCACAGTGAACTCAACAACGAACTTTTAAGCAGACCTGGAACAGTGGGGACTAACTGGAGAGAAGTGAGCAGAGCTGTTTGTGATAGGAGAGTTCCTATCAAATTGAAAAGTAATTAGGCTTGCACTTTAATATGGCTCTGAATGCTGGAGACTGATAAAGAGATAGGGGTAAATCTTGAATATGCTGGAAAATAAAATATTACGGTAGAAACGTAGAGTATAAGGATGGACCATGTTTGGAATGAACACATTAAGGAAAGTGAGAGCGGTAGCACTTACAGAAAAGCTGAAGGATTCGAGGCTTAGATGGTTAGGGCATGGAAAAAGATGATTATATAGGAAACAGAGTGTCAAACTTAGAAGTGGAGAATGAGAGAGGTTGAAAAAACAAAAACTAGGCTGATGAATGTCATACAAAAGGTTTTTGTCTCTGGCAACCTAGCTGAGGAACTACTGTGGAATGGAGAAAGGCCCAACCTTCTAGCTGGGACTAAGGCTAGAAGAAATAAGTTAAAGCTCTCTCCCGCAGAAGAGTGACATTTCGAGCAGAGCGGATACAGATTATTTTCTCCGCCTTGTTCCAAGCCTCCTCATTTCTCCGCCTCAGCTTGTTAGCCAGTCCCCACTCTCTTTAAGTCCTAAGCAGGCACCTTCTGCCCTAAGTTTACTGTCAGTTTCTGTTTGTAAGCTAAGAGTGCTTAGATCTGGTATGTCTAGAATTTCTGTAACATCAGAAATGTCAGTGGTTAGTATTTACAAGTAGAAAACATGATGGGGGCGGTAAGGGAGGAAGGAAATTGAATAACTGAGGGCAGTGAGCAAAGACGGGGATCTTCCCAAGATCTCCTGGAAGGGAGCTGGTGTCACCGGCATACATCCATAGATGGTACCTACGAGGGTAGCTGTTCTCCTGCAGACTTTAGTTTACTGTGTAACGGAAGCAGAGAGTTCCCGGATGCCTGCACTGAAAGCATCCTGTGCCGTATGCCATCAGACGCTGCATGTTACCACCTCCTCATGTAGGTGGATGTCAGTTTGATTTACAGGGACTCTACTTTCAGCAGCACTAAGTCCAACATTTACCTGGCTTTAAAAAAGGTCACTTGGGTTTTTTTTTTTTTACCATTTTTTATTTTCTGCAGAGAAATGGTTCTAGGAACCAGCTGTAAACTCAGTACTGTCAGGGCAGTTGCGTTTAAACAGAGATATAATTCAGCTTCCTCCAGGGTGACAACCAGATTAGTAGCAGCCTCAGCTACTTCCTGAGAAATAGAAATGGAAAATTAGAGCACGAGAGAGACTACAGAGGGGCACTCAGCTCCCATGCACTTTATACTGTATAAATGTTTGGGTCCTACCCAAGGGGTGAGTGACGTTTCCTGGCTGCATCTCTTTAAGGCCATCTCTATATGACAGGCACTACAGTAGCACAGCTATAGTGCTGTACCATTGTCACTCTAGTGCTGTAGTGTAGACACTTCTTAGAGCGACAGACAAGTTCTTCCTGGCATTTTAGATCAGCAGTGCCCAACCCGTGGGTTGCGACCCCCAAGCGGGTGGTGGCTGTCTTCTTGGGGGGGTCGCAGTGCTTTGATCGAGCCAGCTGGCATTTTGTTTTCCTGGCTCTGTGCCCGATGTACACATGGTGGGGGCGGAGGGAATGGCAGGGGAGCGGATCAGCGTTTTAAATTAAAGGGGCCACAATACAATGTTCCCGGCGTGGGTTTTTTTTCCCCCCCTCAATAAAAATTTTCCCAGCTTCGGGGGTCACGAATGAAAAAAGGTTGAGCACCAGTGTTGTAGATAATCCACCTTCTCCAGGGGTGGTTGATGAGATGACAGAAGCATTCTTCCACTGGACTTAGCACATCTGCCTGGGGGGGCGGGATAGCTCAGCTCAGCTCAGCTGCTGTGCTTGTGGGTGGGAGTTGTTCACACCCTGAGTGTTGTCGCTTTTAAGCATAGCCTGGGCCAGAGAAAAGCACGTGGTTTGCAGAGTGGCTTTGTGACTCTCCCTGAGGTGCTCTGTCATTGCACAACTGCTCCCAGGTGTCCCTTTAACCAGCATGTGGGGGGCTGAGTTTGCACCCAGGCCCAGGGTTCCCAGGGACTAGGGGGTGTTAACTGGTTTTGGTTAATCGGTGAGGCCTCTCCACCTCCTCTGCCTAATCAGTTAGCCAGTTATATGGGATTTTATATCCCTGACGGCTCTGTTGGGGCTGAAGTTGGAGTCCTGTGCTCAAGAGGGTGCAGTGGGTCTCGATCTGTGGAAAGCTGCTGAAGGAGCATACATTGTTATTAACTAGGAGTGGGGGTCCCCTGTGCAGAGGCCTTGCTGCTCATTCCCTTTTCCAGCACCATCAGACATGCACTTTCTTTAATAGTCAAGACGAGTGGGAGCTTAGAATCTGTTCATCGCTCAGTGGATCTGCTTCATGGGGTGGGAGCTGTGCATCTTTGGTTTGGCCCCAGCTCTGCTCCCTGTGGTAGGCTGCTCATCTCTGCAGGGAGATGGAGTGCTCCAGATGGACACCGGCTCATAGCCAACAGCTTTCCCTCCATCCTGTCTTTGCCGTAGCCAGCAACCCCAGGCAGGGAGCAATGTTGTACACCCCTCAGATGGGCTGATTATGGTGCTTAGTCGGCTCCCTGCAGCTGCCTTAGAAATCAGAAGCTGGCTGCAAATCCAGGCTGTTGTCTCCTGCATGGAGAGAACTCACCATGGCTGTCTTCAGGTGCATGGTTGGGGCTCGTCTACAATTTGCCAGCTGGTCTGGTATGAAAGCTCCTCAAATCCAGGTGTTCTTCCTCATCGCTCATGGCCAACTCCTGAGCCACCAGAAAAGGCCTTTGGGCCTCTTACCTTCCTCTTCTCCTTTTTGGCCTTGCACAGGGATTTCATTGCCCTGCATTGGCCTCAAATGTTGTAGTGTCCAAGATAGGTCTCTGGGCAGCAGCGCCCTGTGTTAGCTTTCCCCTGTGTCCCCGTCCCTTTCCATCCCTTCTCTCTCTGATGCCCCTCACGGCAATGCCCTTTGAGTGCCTCCAGAGCTCCCTCACACAGCCTTCAGCGAGCTCCTTCTTCCCCGCCTCTCCGGAGAGTGGTAGCACCTATCCTTCACTGGGGGCTTTGCAGACCTGGTAGGAGGCTTGGCGAGAGTCCCTCCCCCTTTAATTGCTGGTTTCTGTGTTAACAGCCACTGCTCTAGGCACCCCCGTCACTATGGAAACCT